CGAAAAAAACGGGCTCCTGGGTTAAGCCCCAATTCGGTGTGTCGGGTGCAACCCACTGGTCACGCCCAAACCGTCCGTACCTCCCGGTCCGTCTCAATCAGTGAGCGTTTCTCACACAGCGAACACACGAACGACACGAAGAGAACCGATCAATCACCGTATACCCCCATCAACCACCTGTTTCCGCATCTTCATGTCGTTCCCCTACCCTGAAAACACCGTTGCCGGGATCACGTTCCACCCAAGACCTAAGACCAGTGCAACATATTCACGGGCGAAGCACGTGAAGAGCTAGCTGCACCATGTGACCATGCCTCGTAGTCGCACCCGTGCCTGGGTTCTTGGAGAATGCGGAAGAATCAGATTGATTGAACCAACGGGACACAGGTCACCTGCAACGCGAACGTCAATGAACCCGTGCAATTTGCAAGTTTGTATGTCACCAATTAGCAATTTTGTAGGTCCCCGAAGTGGGAGTGCATGGCCCATGCTGGAGTCCCGAAATCTATGGAGACCTGAGGGAGGACCAGAACTGGATGTTCTGAGATGATCTGATCAAGGAATACCGCAAAGAATAATAATCACCACAAGGGAACAAACAACAACATTCACACCCAAATGCGTATAGAAATTGGAAATTCATCAAAACAATGCAATTCCTCTTTCACACTACAGTAAAAAACGCATCTGATGTAACTACCTTTGAATACACAGTCTATATACCAGGACGCTCCAGTGGTGCTGTGATTCGGGGTGTCCATGTCTACCACCCCGAAGTCCTGGGGGTCCTGGTAGTTGTATCTACCTTTAACCCTAGGGCTCCTGGCCCAAATTTTCAGGTGGTTAGACCCCCCTGACACCCACCCCTGGCGGCCCTGGCCCACCTTCTCAGGTGGGCCAGGAGCCCTAGGGGGGCCATACCTTGGATCTCTCTCATAGCTTTGACCAATTCGACGTCCTTTGGGCCCCTTCCCGCTCCTCATGCGATTCCTCAGACTTCTGCGTCAAGTCCTGACCGGAGACCGGGAACGTGCAAGCGAACTGAGCACTGGTGCTTTAAGTGAGTCCCAAGCACTGCATATATGGCATACTACAAACACATAAAAAAAATATACATGGAGTGTCTGGAAATATAGATAGACAGATAGATAAACATAGATAGATAAACACAGAAATAAACATAGATATATAGATAGATAGATAGATAGATAGATAGATAGATAGATAGATAGATAG